TAACATATTAAAACATCTGCTCAGTTCTTCAAGTATCTTTCACCTATCCGAAGATACAATTTATATGCACATTCATGTATCCAACTGTCTCCCTCGCTCGCTCTCTCTCTCTCTCTCTCCAGTTGAGCTACGCAAACTCCCTGCTTGACTTGCAGCAGCTGTCAGCTTGTTCTTATCTAAGCAAACTATTTAAATTATATGCCAAATATTTGCTCATCTTCACCTTGAATGGCCAGCAAGCATACAAGACAGAGAGGGGTAGAGAGAGAGAAAGAGAGAGAGCGAAGGGAGGGGTGAAAAAACACTGTAGGGGTATGCTCGAGTCCTGTAATCTAGCTTACACTTGAGGAGCTGTTCGGTAACCGTTTTGATTTCAAACCAGAATTTGTTGCTGCTAAGCAAATATGTATACACAAGGGCAACAGCAACAGCAACAGCAACACAAACAGCAACAACAACAGCAATAATAACACTTGGCACAAAGGTCTTGGGTCCACAGCCAAGCAAAAGCTCATATAAATAAATATTTTATACCTTTTTCTTCTACTTCAGTTTCGCTTGTGTTTTCTTCTTTTTCTTTTTTTTTCGTAGCTTTGCTTTATTTGTTGTTGTGCCTGGGCATTTGACTTTAACACTGTTGAGATTTTCACTTTTGGCTGCTTTTCGTTCTTTTTTTTTTTCCACTTCCATTTCCATTTTCATTTTCATTTATTTTATTTCTGTTGTTTTCTGTTTTCGGTTTTCTTTTATTTGCCAAAGAAAGTTTTTTGTTTTGGCCCCGAGGGCGCACAGGGCGTATAAGTTATTTCAGCACGTCTTTTGTATAGTTGGCCGATGCGTACGTGTGGAAAACGGCTCAGCGCTGCCAATTGGCAGCCGGGCAACTGTCGACCGACTGTCGACTGTCGACTGTGGACTGTGGACTGTGGAGTGTCGATACGCTGACTCTGACCTGACTCTGGTCTGGTCTGGTCCCGGCTGATTGACGAGCCGTGCGGCGCGCTGCGTCCTGGCGCCGCGTTGAAGTAGCAATAATGCCATTTCATTCAAGTGTCCTCGCTGTCTCTGCACTGCTGGCCAATATTGCCGACGTCGGTGTGCTTGTCTTCTTATTAGTTTTGGCCCAACTCTGACTGACAAGCCAACCCAGTCCAAGCCACACAGCAACCAGCCAGCCCTCGCACCAGCCTTTCTTGAACCTGGCAGAGTCCATGTTTTATTCTTTGTGGCATGCGTAACAATATGAAATTGATGACTTTCGCTTCAATGCGTTACGATATGTTGCAAGCAGTCGGGCCGGACAGGGACAGAGCGAGAGAGGGAGAGAGTGAGAGAGAGGGAGACAGCCAGACAGACAGGACATTCAAAGAGTCAGTTTGTCATTCATTCACTAGTTCGTCCTTTGGCTCATTCATTCATGTGGCTGCAAAATGTTGATAACGGCACTAATGAAGTGAGGCTACCTTTTCACTTCTTTTCTTTTTTTGCGTGTGTGTGTGTGTGGCATGTTGGCCGGGTCAATCCTTTTGCGCACCTTTTCGCATTGACAAATAAATTCAAGCATTCAGTGTGGAACGGGCGGCCGGTGGGCGGTGGGTGTGGCTGAAATGGTGCGTCAATTGAGCTGCTTGATTGCTTTGCTTTGCTTTGCTGCGATTCCATTCGATTCGATTCGATTCGATTCGATTTTGGCTTGGAACGGTCTGGGGCTCAGTTCAGTTCAGTTCAGTTCGGTTTGGTTTGGTCAGCTATTAGTGTTGGGTTGTTTGCCAGGCTAAATGCTTGGCCTTTTCATGCCACAGTGCACACATTTGTGGCACATTTTGTACTTGAGTGGGTTTGCCCCCCTTTGGCGCTTTGAAGTGGTCAAAGGGTTGCCGGCGGGCCACCCAGCAATTGCCAGATATACATTAACAGATAAATGCCCCGCCATTCATCTTCACATACTTATATACTAAACAGATAAATATATATATACGTATATACATATATTTTTATTCTCTATATATATATTTATTTTCTGGGCCTTCTGTATTATTAATGCTTTGCCCTTGGCTCCACAAATAATAATGGCAATTGGCCAGTGAGCACCGCCCCTTCCTCCTCTACCCACTTTGGACACTCACCTGGCATGCGTTAACGGTATTATTGTCGGCGGATTTGGCGGCTGCTGTGGCACGATAAGCCCTCGACGCGGCGGTCCGCGTTGCGGCAGTGAAATATCTCCGGCGGATCTTAATGAAATTACGCCCGTGCTCTCGCGGTTGTTTGAGAAGCGCACGCGGCCACCCTAAAAACGAAAAGAAAGAAAGAGAGTTGTAAGTTGTGTGTGTGTGTGAGAGAGAGAGAGAGATAGAGTTATGGTTAAGGTAAGCAAAACATTTGGATTAGCACTCAAGTAGAATTTGTTGCAGCAACAGCCGCCGCCGCAGCAGCAGCAACAACAGCAACAACAACAACAAATTATGAAAAATTAACAAAGTTATAAAAGTTTATGCGCCGCGTGTTGCGTGCTCCTAAAGTAGAGTTTACTTTGGGCCCTTGTGGCTGTTGCTTCAGTGGCTGTTGCTGCTGCTGCTGTTGTTGTTGTTGCTATTGTTGTTTTAGCTGTGATTTGCTGTAGTTGTTGCTGTTTGCTTTTTATTCAGCTTGGAATTTTAAATTTAGTTTATTCGAACGCAGCGGAAATTGCAAAGTTGTTGCTTTACATTTGGGGCAAAAACCAACACAGAGAGAGGGGGAGAGTGAGAGAGGGAGAGTGAGAGAGGTGGCACGCTCTTCTCAATTACAGCAACTTTCAGTTCGGACATGTAAATTGCAAAGTTTTGTAGCATGTAGATTTGCTGTTGCTGCATACTTCATGACGGCAGCAGCTCATCAAACAGTAAAGTTGCAAGCTGGCATTGGCGAGGGGCATAGATAATGAATTTGTTGCATACTTTTTGGCATGCCACCGGCCTTGCTGCGGTGGGTGGTGGGGCAGAGAGTCAAAGCGTATGCTCGAATGCTAATGCCCTGTATTGACCATTCTACTTTTCTTTTTCATTTTTTTTTTCGAGTATCCATTAGCATTGGCCAAAGTTGCGGTTGGCTGCCCAAATACAGCAACAACAGCGCATAGGGACAATTGTGCGCTTCACATTTTTGCAGAGAGGCTCGTCTAAAGTGCTGCGCAAACCGCAAAAAAAAACTTTTTTACTAAACAAATTTTGTGGCCGCGCTGCTGTTGTTGTTGTTATTGTTGTTGTTATTGTAGCCGCTTTACGTATTGCCACATCAAAGCGAAAACTGAAATTGAAAGGGCACAAAGGGCGGCGGCTCAAGCATATCGACAACCTCCTCGCCACTGAGTGATTTTCAATTGACTAAGAAAACAAAATTTCTGCCCCAAAAGCGAACCCACTGCCCCATGCTACTCTGCACCACCCTCCCCCCTCTTAGGCGCAGCAATAAAAGCGCAACTACCACTGTGCATAACACAAGGCAAATAGAAGAAGAAGAAAAAAAAGTAAATTTTATGCAAAGCCTGAGGAAAAGTCTCAAGACGTCGTCGCCGGGTTGAACAAGTCAACAAGAATTATGCACTTTTTGACTGTCAATAAAAAGTAAAGTAAGTTGAAGTTCGACTTGCACTGGCGCTGCCTTCGAGTGGAAGCGAAAATGCCAAAGAACATACAAATCGAAGTTGGAAATCAATGCGCAGGCAAAATATATTCAGCGTATAATTTAATAAAGCAAATAAAAAGAAGAAAGGATAAGAAAAGAGAGCGAGAGAGGGAGCAGGGGAGGGTGGAGAGAAGCCGAGGGCATGCGGAAGTGCTTGGCATCCGCTGAGAAATCAAAGCAGCCAACGAGGCGTGCGCTGCGTCTCAGCCAGGATTAACAGCAAAGACGAATGTGCTGCATAAATCGAAAGCTGAAAACCCGATTGCATGGCTCCGGCGACATTGTTGCAGCCGGAGAATTGCCCGGAGTTATCCCAGCCAGCCAATGTGCTTAGCTGAGCCGCGCTGTGCGCTCGGCGTGAAGTGGGCGTGCAAGTGTTTGGTAAACCGCGCTCATAAATCACAGCTCAAGCAGCTGCACACACAGACACACACACGTATACACTCACACACACACACACACTGATAGACTTACCTGTATGGTAGCAGCTGGTCCACAATTAAGTCCGGCCATAAGAAAATCATCGGGATCGCTCTCGTAGGGCGGCTCGTCGTACCAGTGACCTTGGTGGTGCAGCGCACTGACCGCATAATGCGCACCACCCTGGCCAACGGTGCCGGGGCCGTTGCGCAGCGCCTCGTCGTACATGTACGTATCATCTGCAAAGGGATAGACTGCGAGGTGTTAGAGTGCCATCAAGATAGAGCGAGAGGGGGAGACAGAGGAAGAGAGAGGGCGAGGCACAGTCTGGTACATATAAATGGCCTTTGGAGGCGGTGCTCTAAACTTTTGCCAGGCCGAAATGATGTGCAACGGCAACATGATATCATATTATACGCAACGTTGCACACACACGCACACACTCGCACACACACACACACTTGAATGCCATTTTCCACATGTGCTGCACACAGAAAGTTGCACAGTTGCAAGTGGCGCAGTTGCGAGTTGTTGCTGTTGCTGTTGCTGTTGTTGTTGCTGGTGCCGGAAACGGACATAAGATTTTATGCTCGCTTATGCATGTGACGCTCGCCAGACGCTGCCACGCCCACTCATCTAACCAGATTGTCGAGTGCAAGTCGTCCGGGTCGCCTAAATTGAGATATTTATTTCGCAGCAGCCGGATGTGAACTTACCCGCTCGCCCCTCGCCTCGACTCATCTGCAGCAGGCCCTGCCGTATGTCCCGCAAGATCTGCAAAACAAATTCATAGATAATTAATACGAAATAAGTAGAGAAAATGTAAATTCAAATACTTCAGACTCTCAGACTCACAATAAGCGACTTGCGACTTATTTGACTGAATGCTCCAGAGCCCTTGCCTAAGCCCCGTTTTAGGCACAAATGAGTGCACTCTATGAGCCAAGTAATTTATATATATACATGTATAAGCTGAAAGTGGAGCTCGGTCTGTCTGCTGTATGCCGGCACGTGACTGTGACTCGGCGACTATAAAGGAGAGGCGAGACGTACTCAGAGCAGGGGCAGGCGATGAAGTTTCAGCTTATTCGTCAGCCTGGCTGACTTTAGCCACTTCTTTTACTCTGCAGAGCTGCAGAGGCGTTAAAATTACAAAATTCCATTTGAAAACTAAAACAATTTTCAAGAGAGACAGAGAGAGAGAGAGAGAGAGAGAGAGAGAGAGAGCACAACTGAAATGCTGCTTGAATGTCCTGCAACATAATAGCGCAATATGTGCTGCATACTAATTTAAAAACAAGATATATCTGGGTGTATGTATATGTGTGTGTGTGTGTTAGTGTTAGTGCGAGAAGGATGCCAGGGCCAGGCCAGAGCAGCTAGAAATGGATACAGCGCAACATCAGAAACTAGTGTAAAAATTAGCTAAAAGCTTTTTCGGGGCAGCTACATTAAAAATGCATTTAAATGGCAGCAGCAGCAGCAGCAGCAACAGCAGCAGGAGCAGGAGCAGGCAACAATTGCCGGGCAGAGCTCGGCTGCCACAGCAATTTGCAAATTTATGTGGCCGAACTTGTGCATGTTGCCTTGGGCTAATCACATTGGTCTAGAGCCGTGCTTAATTGACTGCCCGATTGTTGGCACAAATTATTGGCCAGCAAACATTTGCTTTTGGTCGAGTTGCCTGCCGTCATGGGTCGAGTCGTTCGGCTATCTCTGCTGCTCTGTTTTATTATAAATATTTCATAAGCAGGGGACAATTTCTTTTATTTTCCCATTCACATTGCTTGCTCGCTCTTTCTATTTGTTGTGCCAGCTCTTGGCGCTTGAGAAGGCCGAAATGGAAAATAAGCAGCGGAGATGAAGCACCAGGTCCGGACACAGGCTCAGGCTCTGGCTCAGGCACTGGCAACAAAAACAGCAATTACAATTAGACAAACAGCAAGTTGTTTGCACAAGTTAAGCAGCAACTACAACAGCAGCAGCAGCAGCAACCACTCTGCCAGTGTGTGCGCGTGTGTGTGTGCGAGTGTGTGTGCTTTTCATTTATGCACAAAAATTATTGCCTTTGCTTAGGCGGACACGTCGTCGACATGCAAACAGACAAATTGTCGTGCAGCAACGCATGCCACATGCTATCTCCCTCTCTCACACTCTCTCTCTCTCTCTATCTCACTCAGTTTGCAAGAATTATGCATTTTCAGTTCAAATAGCTAGAGCAACAGCATTTCAGAGGACTTTTTCAGCTTAGCCAAACGAAATGGAATATGTGCTGCTGCTGCTGCGTCGTCGCTGCCGATAACTGAGCTCTCCATAATTAACTGGGTTTGCCTGCTGCTCTATGTATGTCAGAGAGGCAGAGTTTCGATTGGCAAATCACATAAAGGCAAGTGGATCGCACGGCAGCCAGCAGATATTTTCATCAGGCACAAATCTGTGCGACTAAACCAGTGTGAACTGATTCGAACTGTTGCAGGTGAAGCAGGTGATTCCCAATGCTTTGACAATTTCCGTTTATAAAAGTTTGCTTCATTTGTAGCAATGCATTTATATACATACATCATAGTGACAGAGTTCTTTTGGAAATTACATTACTGATGAATTTCTATTGCTGCTCTCTCTCTCTCTCCTTCCTTGTGCATGATTAGCTTTCAATATAGCCAGACCCTTTAATATCTTCCTTTTTTTTTTTTTACTTCTATGCCTATATACTATCTGCCTCTCTATCTATACTCCTGCTAGTCTCTTCCATCTTCCATTTATTCGTTATTCTCCTTCACTTTTCTCATATTCTATTTCATATCTAGCTGATTTCTTCACATTTACGATTTCTTTTCCTTTTTATGCCTTCATTATTCTCCTATTCCATGTTCTATAGTTAATTTCCTTATATTCTCTTTCATTCTCTGGCATTTAATTTCACTCCATTTGACTCTGCTTTAGTCTGTTTAATTTGCTTTTAGTCTATTCTATTTTGTGATATAATTACAGCTCATTTTTCGCCCAATTATTTCTGCTCTAAAGTCAAAGCAGCTTTTCATATATATTTTATTTATATTGTTTGGCCAGGCACCTTTTGGCATGTCAAACAGTGTTTTCCCAACTTCAGCCACGCCCATTTATTACACACATTACACACTCACACACAGACAATTAGTGTGCTACCTTTGGAGCTGTGTAAAATTTGATAAAATGTGGAAAAATAATTTTTATGACAGACAAAAAGTTTATCATTTGCCACGTAACAGTTCATTGTTTTTGTTGTTGTTGTTGTCTTTTGTGTGCTTGTACTTAAGTGTGAATACACGTATGTGTGAGTGTGTGTGTGTGCAACTAAATGAACATTTGCGTCTGCTCTGCATGTTTTCCAACATTTGTTTTGCTAAACGCCAAGAGCCTCGCCCCCTCCCCTCGCCCATCTTTCTGCTTCTGCAAAATAATTGCTTTTTTTTTTTAGAGGAGGGAAGAAATGTTTTGCTAGCTTTTCCAAAATTGAGACTACAAATTTAAGAGATTGTCCAGCATTTAAATATGCATGATATGTTGTGTGGGCGTGGCAGCTAAACTGTTTTGTGGGACGGCAAATAGTCGAGGTAAATGGCATGGATATGGATTTTAATTTTCCAGCAGCTGTTGATGTTTTATTTAGGCAAACAAAATGTTGTTGGGCCTAAGCACAAACAGCAACAGCAACAACAACAACAACAGCAGCAACAATCAGGATTGCCTTATGTTTTTGTTTATTTATTTATTTTGCGTAAACTCTCTCTATCTCTCTCTCTCTCTCTAGATATATATTTATATATATTTTATGTGTATGTGTGTGTAGTCTCTCGCTTATGCTTGATTTATTTCTGGTTTACAATTGCAATTTTATTGTTTGCAATTGCAACAAATTGGAATTCGGCTAGCAAATTGATTGACAATATTTCAGCATGATTCATGCAATTTTAATCAAACGGCATGAGACAGCCCCACGTATGTGCGTATAAGCATTGCCAAAAATATTTTCATTTACATCAATTTGCGCAAAACAATTTCGAAATTTGCAATTTCCATTAGCAGTTCGCTTACCTCTTCGTGCTCACGTTGAAACTTCTCCTTCTTGCGCATGGCCTCTTGGACTTTTAGCTGGCGAGAATGAAACAGAAAACAGTTGAGAGCATTATTGAAATAACAGTATATTTATTTATTCTTAAGTGCCCTACAGTTTATTCAAAAGACAAGTTCATAGCAACAGCAACAACAAGAACATTGCAAAACTTTAAAGTTTGCTTTTCGGCTCTGGCCTCAAGTTTCCTCCGGCGGGTGCGAAAAACATGCGTGCACTGCCACACGGCTGGGCGTGGTGTGGCGCGCTGGTGGGCGTTGCCGCATGCATTATGCAGTGCTTGCCGCTGCAACTGTCATGTTGCTGTTGCCACGCTGCAGCTGCAACTGTTGCTGTTGCTGTTGCTGCTGTCTGTTTGTTGTCGTCGTTGATTGCATTTTGCTGCTTGTTTTTGGTTGCTGCTCGCGCTGTCATTAATAATGAATGTTGACGGCAATGAACTTTTAAATGTTGCATGCATCTACTTGCCGAGCTGCGCCGTGCTGCAGCAGGTAAACGGGAACGTAAACGTGCTCGCCAGCAACGGTTGCAGCTTTCGTGTTGAAATTACATTGCAAATGCAATGCCAGCAAGTGGGCAACTGCCACTGGGTGGGTGTGGCATAAGTAGGTGCTGCAACTTTCTTATTGTTGTTGCTGTTGCTGTTGTTGCTGCTGTTGTTGCAAACAGTTTTTGAAGTAATTTTGTTTGCTGTGGCAGCTGCTGCCAAATGCGTTGCACTGCATAAATATTTATGCAACGGCAGCTGCTGCGGCAGTTCCATACATATTTATTAAGTATACGCGCCGTGCTCGGCTCCACACTCACTCACTCACTCACTCACTCACTTACCCTGTGGATTGTCTCCTCGAAGCTCTGCTGCGGCGCGCCCGCTCCGCCGTTTATCATCTGGAAGTGTCTCAGACGATCGTTGGCCGCCTGCAAAGGAACGCAAAGGTTATCGATATCAATTACAAAATTCAATTTTCCTCTTTTTTTTTACTTTGTGTGATTTTGCAAAATTTCAATTTATAATTTTCAATTTAGAATTTTGTTTGAAAGTTTGCCACTCTCGGCTTATTGACTCTGACTTCAAGGCAGTTGGCCTTAAAATATGCACAAGGCTCGCTAGGCCGGCGCTTGGGCGAGCGGAGGCGAACGGGGGGCCACAGCTCGGGATGACCCGGGCAAAGAGACTCATAAATCAGTGTGCGGGCGCCACGTGCTTTATCGCCATAACGACGCCATTTTGTATTTCACACCTTTCAGCCGGGCTTTAATTTTTAATTAATAACGAGTCGGGGCAACGAGGGTCGCGACCCAAGTGTTGAGAGCTCTCTCGCTTCTGTGTGTGCCAGTGTGTGTGTGTGTGTGTGTGTGTGTGTGTGACCCCTACACGGCCAATTCAAGGCAGCAGCAGCAGCAGCACGCCCACTTCAGCCCTCGTCTGCTCTTGGCCATCTAATGCGTTTGTTTTCTTATCATAAATACCAAATCAGCTGGGCGGGGCCTTGCCTTGCCGTGCCTTGCCTTGCCGGCTAAAACACATGGGCCACGGCCAGGTGAGTGCTGTTTAATTATATTTTGAAAGGCAGCTTTTTGTGTGGAAGGATGCTGCTACTTAGGCGCATATCCTTAGTCATTTCCGGCGCTTATTTGCTGCAGCGCTCCGCTGCCCGCCCTCGGCTGCCATTCGGGCCCGTTCACTTCTTCACTTCTTCAGTTCACTCATTCGCTTTATTATTTATTTTCAGCTGGCAGCTTCTTTTATTTATTCCGCTTTCTCCTTTGCTTTTCTTTCCCGTTTTTCCCTTTTTTTGTATATTTATATTTATTTTTTCTGTTGCGCTCGTAGCTTTTGAAAAATTTATGCATGTCCTTGCTTATTTATGAGCGACGACGAGGACGTCCTGCTACGGCTGCGTTATCTTTGGCCACAGTTTCATTGCCAGCCCGGGCCGGCGTGGGCTCCTGCTCCCCTTTCTGCAGGAATAGTGGCAGCCGCGCGTCTAAGGTGGCTGGGCTCTAATCAAAGGCGCTCGGCGCCTGAATATGTCCTTTGTGGAAAGGACGCGCGCAGATAAACCGACTACACAGCAGAGCAGGGCAGGGCACGGCACATTATGCCATAGTCAAGAAAGAAGTGCCAATGTAGACATACCCGGCAGGCATAACAGCAGCAGCAGCAGGAGCAGCAGGAGTCGTGGGAGCAGCTGAAGCAACTGGAGCCGTCAAACAGGAGCAGCAGCAGCAGCATCGGCGGGCACATTTTTAACCGTTTCGGCTGGCGCGGGATTTCTCGGCGCGCATAAAAATTTACATGTCCCCAGGGCCAAGATTAAGTACAGCAGCATCAGCCAAGACGCAGTCATAAAACGACAAGCGATGTCGATGTGGGCGGCGCACGAGTGGGCGGGGGAAGGCGCGCAAAGGAATTGTTACAAAGCGAAATATTATGAAATGTACGAAGGACTACAGCGGGCCAGAAGGAAGCTCGGGCCAAATAAATTGAAAGAATTACCGCAGTTGATTTAAATGAAAGGCAAAAGGACAAACAATTTGCTTGCGGTCATAAAACCGAGCTACGAAAATGACTTCCACTTGTACAAGTTTTACATAGCAGAGCATGGCTTATACATATACAAACATATAAATGTGTGTGTGTGTGTGTGTTCGTATTGTTAACTTACCCTGGCTTGTGCGCCATTTTGTTGATTGTTGCGATCCCTTCGATTGACAGTTTTCAAGCCTTTCAGCAGCCGCGCCAGAGTCGTGCGCTTCTTTGTCTCGCGTCCCTCTGTGCAGGAGCAGGAGCAGAAATTGAATGGGGAGTTGCTAAATTGTTAATCCTAACTGTAACCGAACTCACCTGCAGTCGGTGGGAACTCGTAGAAGTATGCGGAACGTGGACTCAGGCAGCTGTAAGCACAGAGAGAGAGAGAAACGACATTACCAAACTGTTCTTCTCGGAGAAAGCTTTCCCCTCTCTCCCCCTCCCTCTCCCACACTATTTGTACTCACTTTTGCTGCACAAAGTTCAGGTGCGCTGCGTTTGGCGGGAGTGTCTGATGCTGTTGTGGTCCAACGCCGGGCTGTCCAGCCGCCTGTTGGCCTGGCACAATTGGTAGTTGTTGCTGCTGGTGCTGGTGCTGCAACTGTTGCTGCTGTATGCTGTGCTGCGTTTGCAGTGTCTGCTGCTGCAACAGCTGCTGCTGCTGTGTCAAGCCGCCGCGTGCCACTCGCGGCGCAAAGACGCCATAGCCAAAGCCGTAGATCTCGTCCTCCTCCTTGTCCGACAAGCAGCTGGAGGGCTATAAAAGGCCAACATAAATAGAGAGAGAGAGAGAGAGAGAGAGCGAGTTGGTTAATCAAATGCTAAAGTATTCAATCCGTGTGCGCGTGCAGCATGCGGCAGAGGCAAAGCAAAACGTAAAACAACACAAATTCACAAATATTTACAAAAATCATTTAACATTTTTTCACATTTCTTTCGGTTTGCATAATTTATTTGTAGCATAATTTCATTTGCTCATATTTATTTATCTTGTATTTTTTTTTAACTATTTGCCAAATCAACGCCAACATCAATAAAATGTTTATAGATTTATTTATGTTTGTTTTTTAGCCTTTTCTGTAAATATTTTAAGCAAATAATTTGTTGTCAATGCTGGCCCAGTCTTTATTGTTGTTGTTGTTATTATTTGCAGTAGTAGTAGTTGTTGTTGTTGTTGGTGTTGGCATACATACCGAGTACTTTCCTGGCACATAAATGGGCTGACTATGACTATTTGGCAGGCCGGCGCCGTGCGCTGAGTGACCGCGATGGCCGTGCTGCTGGCGATGTTGCATGCCGCCGACGGTAGCGCTGCCGCTGCCGCCGGCGCTGCCGCTGAGGCCGCTGCCACCGCTGCCGCTGGCGCCGCCGCTGCTGCCGCCGGCGGGATGGAGCGGACTGCGCTCCGCCCATGCTGCTTGTCTAGCATTTTCTAAAGCACTTAAAATATCCCCAAAGGGAGCCATTAACAATTCACAATAGACGGATGCAAGACCCTCTAAATGGCCGCGTTGTCCATCCTGCAAGCAAACAGCAAAACAGCACCAAAATGAAAGTTACATAAACGTGGCCAGCATGGGTTGGTGGACGAGTGGACTAGTGGGCGTTGGACAGTGGACAGTGGTGGGTGTGACAGCTAAACATGATCTGCATAATCATGTCTATATAATCATGTACATGTATTAATTTCGTATGTGGAGTATAAAATGCAAAGTGGTGCAGCTCGGGTTGGGTTGATGCAGTTACTCGAGAAGATAACGGGAACTACGATTAACGATTAGCGATTAACGATTAGCGATTAGCGATTTACGATTTACGATTAGCGATTATTATGAGCTGGTTAATGATGGTTATTGATGTTGGCGCTGGGTGCGATGAGCATGGTCTGGGGCAGTGCTAGCTGCTTAATAATAATGCTAAATAATTGTTAGGCTCGGTTAGTGGACCAGGCAGGGGTTAGTGCTTAAATATTTATATGTTGCATGAATGGTTTAGCTGTGGGGCAGAGTTTATAGCAAACAATACTTGTGTGTGTGTGTGTGGGTGTATGTACAATGCGCTTAACTCAAATTAGTTTGCCGCTTGACGCCAATTCGCGCAAATTATTAAGTCGGCGTTCCCCTTAGGGCACTAAAAGCGTTCGCCTAATGCACTTACGCTCCCTGCAACTCCTGCCACCAGACACACATCGTTTGTCTTGGCATAAATTATGGCACACACTTGCCAAAGTGTGTGTGTGTGTGTGTGTGTGTGTGTGTTAGTCTCGACACAGCTGTAAAAAGCACCCCCGGCCTGCTGCTGTGCGTGTGTGTGTGTGTGTGTGTGCAAATATTTACAGCTTGGCAGGCAGTTGCCTAGTGGCAGTAAATTGCGTAGCCCAAACTTCCTCCGGCAGTGCGAGAGAGAGCGAGAGGGAGAGAGGGAGAGACGGAGAGAGACAGAGTGAAACCAATAAAATTGTTAAGCAAGAAGCGACGTTAAATTACGCAACATGCACACAATAAACAGCCACGCACTCACACACACACACACACACAGAGAGAGAGCAACTCGCAGTGACAAGCAAATGATTTTTATCCAAGGACATGAAATTGGCCCCACGCACAGTTGGCACGCCCATTGCATACCTGCAGGGGGCGGCCGGCAGGAGCTGAACTCTTGACATTGTTGCCAGAGCTCGAGAGCTGGCATCAATCAAATATGACACGCATTAAAATTCTCACGCTGCCTCTCATATGCGTGCGCGGCTGCTGCTGCTGCTGCTGCAGGAAATTGACAGGCTGTCTGCCACGCCCCCGCAGCCCACCCCACCCCAGCAGCTCCTGAGCTTGCGACACGCTGCGCATTATAAAATGTTTGCGCCTCTGTGTTTTATGCCTTATTTATAGTTGCTTGAATTTTATGCCGCTGCCAGCACACCTGCAGCTGTATGTGTGTGTGTGCAGGTGTGTGTGTGTGTGTGTGTGTGTTGTGCAATTTACCAGGAAATTGCTGCGTTTAGCGTAATTTTTGCTACTTATTGCCCGTTGGCGTCTCGCGCCGCAGCCTTTTTCATTTCTAGCCTCGCAGTTGCTTTCCCTTTTTTTTTGCTTCTTCTTTTCCTTTGTGTCCCCTGCCCAGGTAATTTTAACATTAAGCGCTTCAGGCGCCAAAAGGTGTTGCCGGCTGTCGGCTGTCGCTTGTCGTCTATTGCCGCTTGACTGTTTGACTTTTTTATTAAGGACGCCAGAAAAGTGTCAAGTTTTGATGGGCTAACCAAGTGCTTGATTTTATACCGGGCGGGTGCTGCCACAAGCGAGGCCAAATACACCGTTAACATTGTTGTTGCACGGATTCTTAAAGCCGAACATTACGTAAATGGGGCTCTGGGCTGGGGTTTACTGCCTGCCCCGGATTTAAGTGCTTGATTATAGACTCTCGAGCATCCCAAATGCGTATTCATTGCGATAGTCACATCGTTTCTATATGGCCGAGTAACTGTAATCTTCATTATGCATTCTGCACAAATTTATTATGTAATTCCAAAGTTTATGCGGGGCAGAGAATCAATTTCATAGCTTATTATACAGTGCATGTATAAATATATACATATATTCTATATATGTATAGATGGCATGTGTATTGCCTTTTCTCGGCTTGTCGGTTCGTCATCGAGTGGCAGAGGAAAAAATTCATAAAGTCATTTGCAATTTGCTGCCAAAGCAAGCCAATGCGAAATGACAGCAAATAGCTTCAAAAAGCAACAAAGATACATATAAATATCTATCTATATATTCGTGTGTGTGTGTGTGTGGGTGGGTGTGCGAGTACGTTCAGCAACATCTTCTGGGGAAGCAAAATAACTGTCGCAATAAAATAATTTATTGAAGTTCTGCAATGCCAGCGACAAATGCAATAAACTGCAAAACTGCGCGAAGCCCACATGACGTATACGTTATAAATTTATTTTCAATGCTTCGACAGCAGCGCGTTCCAGCTCTTAGCAACTCTTGACACACATCCCACAAAGACGCACTCAGCCAAAGAAAACGAAGAAGAAGAAGAGGAGAAAGAAATGTGCGACACACACACACACATGCTTATATGTATAGCAGTTAGTTAAGCATAGCAGCGGATGGGATAAAGGCTAAAGTGATGCATGAGTTTAACGCCCTCACGTCTCTGACAGGACAGCTGCAAAAGTTGTCTACTTATGAGGCAGGAATATGTTGCCAACAGCGCTGAGATATCGACAAGAAATCGAAGCAGGAACTCTATATATATACAGATAGATAGACATGCACATATCTTTATATATATATATATGTAAGGAACGCCAGCTCGTGCTAGGATTTGGCAATGACAGCAGCAGCAGCAACAGCAGCAGCAGGAGCAAGAACAGCAGCAGCAGGAGCAGGAGCAGTCAAAAACTTTTTTTTGGCAACGAATTTTGTTATTGCTGGCCAAAATGACTTTGTTTATGCGTTGTACTATGTATTTAGTAATCAGCTTTCTTGGCACAACACAAATTATTTGAGCTGAGGCTAATAACTTTTGACGTGCGCTTGTAAGTGCCACTAAGCAGTGGGCGAGTGGGCGAGTGGGTGTGTGGCTGGGCGTGTAGGCGTGTCATATGCTTGTATGTGTGAGAGAGCGGCTTCACATTTGCTCATTAGGTGCCGCAATGCCACAAGATTCGCTCAAGCCTGTCAATTTTTTGCGCAAACTTGGCATTCGACGAGCAACGACGGCCAACTGCTAATTGATGACATTGCTTTTCTTGTTCTTGTTCTTGCTTCATCTGCTTGCTGCTGCTGTTGTTGTTGTTGTTGTTGTTGTTGCTTTGGTTGTTTCGGTTGTTGGCTGCAAGCGTTTAATGAGCAAACAGAACGCACGCAAAATTACAAAGAAGCAACGTCTGTCTGGTCAGCCCGTATTTACACAAGACTTCAAGCCGCATGCAAACACCAATTAGAGTGACCGCAATGCAAACAAAGGTATCAATTAAGGGCCAGTCAGTGTGTAGCTGGCCCTCTCCCACTCTCCCTCTCCCTCACACACTTGGAGTGTCAGCCAAGTCAGCAAGCTCTTTAAACGGCTTAAAGCATTAAGGTCTTTGAGCATGTCAGCCAAATGGAATGCAAGTCCATTTACACGCAGCCCCACCACTCTTGTAGCATAGTGTATTCATAACAATCAGTGGCACTGCATCCTGTTTCCGTTGTGCTGGCGCGTAATCAGCTAAAAGAAATCAACTTGAAGTGAAGCATTCACTGAAATGTTGATGTCTCTGTCAGGAAATCAACAGCAGCAGAGGCAGCAGGAGCAGCAGCAGGAGCAGCAGCAGAGGCAGCAGCTGCCGGCAGGCACCACTTAAGGGTTAATTTCATAAATTGTAGATCAAAGCATTTGCCAGCGGCTCTGCCGGTCTCCGGACTGTGGGTGGGTGGGTGAGCGCTGGCATTTGCCCTGCAGTTGACAATTTTTGAAAGTCAGTGATTTGTAAATAATCCTTTTATAAGCACAATAGCTGCTCGTTAACGGCAAATGAGTTTTGACATGCCCACTGGACAACTACAGAGTTGTTGCTCTCACTCCCAGCGCCCAATCTAACCTAACCACCCGCACCCGCACCCGCACCAGCTACCACTCCCCGCCCACCCACTGCTTATCCCTCCGACATTCTGAGAACGAGACTTTGAATAATGCGTGGCCATTAGCACAGTCGTTGTTTTCAGTTGTTGCTGCTGCTGCTCCTGTTGTTGTTGTTGGCAATTTAAGGCAACACATTTGGTGCCGCCTGCCCGCCCACTTCATGGCTCGCACTCGTTCGCTCCAGGTTGTCGTAGTTGGCGCTAGTTTGCTTGTTCGCTGCTAATATGCGGCATACATGCAAAGTTTTCAGCTGTTGCGCGTCGTCGCGATGCCTCCGCCCCGGCGCCCCTCCCTGGCCCAGCCAGCCGTGCTGAAGAGCTATGCTCGCCATTCGCCGCTTTGCACTCTAAGGAAAAAGGTATTTTGTACAACATATGCGACTATGTTAAGTTGTTAAAAAGCACAAGCTTGTGCACTGGCGAAATTCATTAGCAGCACATACACACATCGACAGGCAAAGAGCGAGAGAGTGAGAGAGAGGGAGTGAGACAGAGAGTGGGAGAGGAAACTGTGCAGGTCCTGGCTGCTGCCTGCCGCCTGCTGTCGCTGTGAGTCAGCCTGAAAGTATTTTCTAATTAAATACTCATGTTTTACAATATGACGCTGACATTTTGCGGAAATGCCTTTTAATTTTACATTTGAGATGCGAACGCTACACGCTCCATGCTCTACGCTCCACGCACACATGTGCCCGAGCGTTTCGCTTTTAACTCATATTTGTAGCTGGGGCACATTTCAGTTTAATTTGGCAGAAATGAGTTTTAGTTTTCATTTCAGCTTTTTGGCCAGGCCGGCGTGTGCCGGCTGCTGCCGGCTGCTGCTGCCGCTTTGCTCTTTTGCTGTATCATTTCCGCTGAAAGCAGCCCCAGCCCCAGCCCTACTCCAG